TCCAACAACGGAGGCAACGGCGGTGGTAAGGACTACGCGCCTTGCCCTTCCTGGCCTCAGCATGAGCCCCGTCTGCTGCGCTACCAACGTCCTCGGCCTTCTCGCTCTCAACTGCGAGGCTCGTAAGTCACTCACTTGATGCTTACCAGACCAGTATTAACCCGCCTCTTCCAGCCACCAAGACTCCCACCTCGGCCATGGACTTCCAGAAGACCTGCGCCGACACTGGCAAGGCCGCCAAGTGCTGCACCCTCAACCTCGTAGGTGCCAACTCTCTGCTCTCTCATGATCCGCACTAACCCAGCCATCACAGCTCAACCAGGGTGTCCTCTGCCAGGTCCCCGTTGGCGTCGCCGCCTAAGCGGTACCGGTTCCCCGGATAACACACATAGACAGTCTGTCGGGTTGATGTGGGAGCTGCAAATATCAAGCTGGCTTCTGTGAGCCGGCTCTCCCATCTCGGATTGGCAATATACTACATAGCTGTATCTACTGTAACTGGGTACACACGGCAAGGGTGCGCACCGACGCGGCCCTGAAGGATAAAGGATGGTTTCATAGGGCTCTCGGGCCACAAAGATGGTGCTTACAAGCCCAATTTCTTAATACTACAACAGTGTTGCTGAACTTTCGAATCAACCACGTGCTCGCCTTTTTCTTGTTTCCCCTCATAAGCATGCGTGGTATAAGTAACTCATTAATTATAGAAAAAAAAAATAAGCCGTAGTCCCCATACCAGGCGTTCATCACAGTCTTGCGTTCGGGATCCTCAGACGAGGCCAATTTAGCTATTGTTGCCGGTGGCAACGCCCCAAAAGTACGCACTCCATCCGCCAAGGACAAGCAGCACGAGGGAGCCGAAGCAGATCTTGGAGATCTTCTTATTCTTGGCGCCCATTTCCTGGTGGAATCGCTCGTTCCGCTCGTTGAGCTCCTCGCCGCGCGCGATGCGGTGTTTTCTGGTCCACTGCAGGTGCCGAATGTCGACGGACCTCCACGAGAGGAGGATGAGGACGGCGGACACAACGACCGAGAGGCCGGCGAGGACGACGTAGACAATCGTCACCTTGTCGTACGAGTTGTTGTCGTTGTCCTGAATGACACCCGTGACGACTCTGACGATAATGTTCATGCTGGGGGGGCACGTGTTAGTAAACGGTGCGTTGTACGCGGAGCTGGGGGGAGGGCGAGGGGCTGCGTACGCGTTGTTCATCGTGACCTTGAGAGCGTAGGCGGTGCCGAAGACCGAGTTGTCCCACATTGTCGTGCGAATGCAGTCAATGATGGTGACGGGGCCAAAGTTCACGGCGACGGCAAAGACACCAAATGAGGCTGCCGTGCCCGAGGTGCCGCTGGCGAAGCAGACAAGCAGCATGGCGGTGAAGGTGCCAACGCCGCAGAAGACGACTGCGCGATATGTCAGTAAAGAGGACCCCAGAGGCTAAGAAGAGCGATGGAGACGTACGGGAGGACACGCGGTTGCCGTATAGATCCATAACGACGCCCATGATGGGAGCGATGAAGAAACCTGCAGAGACAGTGAGCATACGAACTCGTTACACATCTGCAGGGTGCATACCGGCATATTGCGTGGTGGCGCTGTACCAGCCGGCCGTGATGGAGCTTGTGTCGAAGCGCTGCTCGGCCAGCTCAGTGGCGTTCTGCAGGAACACATTGGCAGTGCTCGTCTGGAAGAGAGAAAAGGCGAGGATGCACCAGAAGCTCCAGGGAAGCTCGACAACCTTGTGCAGGTCCATCTTCTTCTTCTTCTCGACGAGCGTCTCGCCGGTAGCGGGGTCCCTGACGCCGTGGTACCTGCGGTGCGCGACCCTGGTGAACCAGTAGAAGACGCCCGTCACGACATTCGTGAACAGGTTCATGAACACGGCGACCCAGAAGACCCAGGCAAAATTGCCCGTCTTCTTGGCGATGATGTTGGCTGAAGACTTGCCGGCAAAGGCACCCAGCTTGCCGACGCCGAGCTCAAAGCCGAGGGTCGAAGCGAAACCGTTGGACGGGGCAAACCAGGAGGAAAAGACCTTGTACTGGGCGACCTGAGTCGCAATGTCACCGAGGGCGCTGATGATGCGGCCGACAATCATGAACTTGTACGAGCGGGTCTGCGCCGCGCCAGCGACAAGGATGGAGCCAACAGTGAAGATGACGTTGCCGTAGAGCATGGCACCTGGACATTGTCAGCGCCTGCATTGTTCATACGGAGTTCCTTTCTTTGAGGCCTTACCAGCACCAACAATGCGGTCCGTGACGAGACCGCTGAGAAGCATAAGGGCTGTGACCATAAAGTCCTCGCTGGCCTCGAGAAGAGAAAACTGCGTGTTGTTGATCTTGAGCTGCTTCTTCATCGTGCTCTTCATGGCGCCCGTGATGCCGGAGCTCCACCTCGAGCCAAAACCGATCATGGTGACAAGGACAATGGACGCCAGCTTCCACGACAGGGGCACGGGCTGGAGGTCGTCTGATGCATGGTCAGACGAGGCTGCGTCGACATTGGCGGTGGCTTGCGTCTTCTCGTCATTGCTATCACGCACGCTGGGAGTCTCAACCGACTGCTCGGCGTCCCGGGCGGGCATGGGCGACTGAGGCGAGGCCATGTTGAAAGCGAAGTTGCGCAGGAATCGCTGACAATGTTGCAATTAGTAGGCAGATGCTCGCATGTCCAACCCTCATTCCTCGGACGGCGGACCTTCCCACTCTTTATGTTCACACATGGCGCGTCCCACTGAAAGGGTTTTTCCCCAACGAACACGATGAATTGACAATCTCCGGTCAGGAGGAGTTCTGATGCGATTGATTAGATCTGATAACCTTGTCTCGTGGCATCGACTGACTAGCTAGTGCACCGCGCTGACAAGGGCCTCGACAGAACTTGTGTCGACGATTGGGCTGCGAGACGTTCGTTCCCACCAACGAAAGCAACCGAGACTCGGTAGAACGGCGCGCAGCGGAGCCAAGAAAAAATTCTCAGTGGGCGTTTCTGGGGGTATTCCGAAAACACGCGTGACAAACGTGAAGCTAGGCGCTGCAACACGTTAGTGAGCCCACTGGAACGTGGTCAAGCACATAATTAAGCTTCTCTGGGATCAATATCCGCCCGGAAGTATGGCTCGCAGCCAAGCGGGGCTCACGGTAGTTGCTGGCTCGGCATCTATTGTGGTGTGTGTTTCTCGTTGGCACACCAAATTCGCCTGGCCGAACTTGTACCGCCAAGGCGAGGGAGATCTACGAAGCTGCCGTGGCCAAGAACCTGTATGTCCGCACGCACACGCCTGCGCAGGGTCTTGGGAGGACCGCCGAACCAGGTCAGCGGGTCGAGTGTCCACGCGTGGTGGGGGAGCTCGAAAGGCCAGGCTCGTGTAAGGTCCTGCGGGGTGGCCATTCAGCTCGATTAGGCCGGCGAAGCCCGTTCCATGTCGTGCCATTGCCATCCTCCCATGTGTCCTTGCATGCCTGGCTGTTAACTCCGATGCGTCCGCCCTTCTGTCAATATTATCAAGTGTCAGCATGACGCATGGCGTTGGCTCACGCGGTTATGCTTCATGAACCTTCTGATTCGGAGTCTGACCATCGTACTCGAGGGAACATCGTTGAGCCTCTTCCCCATCAACTGTAACCCCTCATCCCCTTCCTTGGCATTGGCGTTGGCTGGAGCCACGAGAAGGCTCTGAGAGGGCTGATCTCGACCAAGACTACAGGGCCTGTGTTGATGTGCGAGTCAGTCGTGAGGCCAGGGAGCGAGAGACCTGTCCTACAAAGTGAAACAGAAGAGGCTGGCTCATTGAACACAGTCTTCAAAAACCAACGACCTGTTCCTTTCCATACTTGCTTGCTGTCGTATTGTCTCGACCCTTCAGAGAAACATACACTCAGAATCATGCGACTCCGCGATGCTGCCAAGAATACTGCCCACGGCTCCTGCGTGCCGCCCGGCAGAACACTCAACCGCCACCTCCGCCCCTCGCTGAGCGCCTCGCCTCACCCCCATGGGGATAAAGAATATGGCCCGTGGTGAAGGGTTCATTATGGATTGATGGCAATGTTGGTTTTGGAGTCATGGAAGGGCCAGTACCATTTCAACCAACCCTCGTCTGCATTTCCATTCCTAGCTTCGACAAGAAATCAGGGATCTTCGCGTCTTCACAGTGTATTCAAGTCTTGAGTGTGCACATCATCGATATACGAATTCGCCATGGGATCTGACAAGAGACTACGCTTTGCCGTCATCGGCGCCGGTCTGATCGGGCCTCGCCATGCTCAGACAGTCATGGAGAGCCCCGACACGGAGCTCGTGGCCATCGTCGACCCGCTCGAGAGCAGCGCTACGTTGGCGAGGGACCTGGATACAGCTCACTACCAAAGCGTCACTGATCTGCTGGCCTCGCCCGCCAAGCCAGACGCGGCCATCATCTGCACGCCGAACCACCTGCACGTCCCGCTGGCCAAGAAACTTGCCTCGGCCGGCGTCCACGTCCTCGTCGAGAAGCCCGTCAGCGTAGACATCACCAGCGGCAAGGACCTCGTCCGACACGTCTCCGCCACGGGCGTCCGTGCTCTAGTCGGGCACCACCGCCGGTTCAACCCCTACATGGTCGCTGCCAAGGCGGTCGTCTCGTCCGGCACGCTAGGGACGATCATGGCCGTCAACGGGCTCTGGGCCCTCCGCAAGCCGGATGAGTACTTCCAGCATCCCGCGGCGTGGCGCCAGACGGAGGCCGGCGGCGTCGTGCTCATCAACATGGTCCACGAAGTCGACCTGCTGCACTTCCTCTTCGGGCCCATCACGAGCGTCCACGCCGAAAAAACGCTCTCGCAGCGCAGGTTCGAGGCCGACGAAGGCGCAGCATTGACACTGCGCTTTCGGTCAGGCGTCGTCGGCAGCTTCGTCGTCGCCGACACAGTCGCATCGCCTTGGAATTTCGAATCCGGGACGGGTGAGAACCCCATGATACCCAAGGCGGGCCAGGACTGTTACCGCATCCTCGGCACCGACGGCAGCCTCAGCGTGCCGGACATGACCGTCTGGTCGTACGGCACAGCCCCCAAATCGTGGACGTCCGAGCTGGTGCAAGAGACGATGCCTGTGGAGAATGGCACGCCTTTTGAGCGGCAGCTTGAGCACTTTGTCGGAGTCATCCGTGGCCAGGAGGTCCCCAGCTGTACTCTGCAGGCTGGCCTCGGGGCGTTGATGGTCTGCGAAGCGATCCGACGAGCGCTCAAGGACAATTCGACCGTGCAGGTTGAGCAATTTTCTCTGTAGTTGCGGACGTAGGACTCCCTGGTTTGACGCGAGACGGAGCTCCTCGGAAGCGCCGGGCACCGGTGTGCGCATCATGTGTGTCAACCGTCAATCTCGACTCGATAGCGCCGGGACAGAACGTCACGGTTATAGCGTGTCATCGGCCTTTGTCACTCGAGTGAGATGCAGCAGGGAGCTCACACTCAGTTGCCGGGCATTCGTCGTCGGAAAGAGATGCTGCAGATTAGCCGTGGGCCCGAAGCCGTCAGTATCACGGACACGGTGAGCTGCACTGCTTAGGAGAAAGGATTTGGGCATCAAAATGACATTAATTCAAGGTAGTCGCACCACACGCAGCTGGGGTGAGCCCGCATCGATCCGATCTCGTAAACTCTCACTGCTTGCTCCACTGCTCGCGCACGTCGCCGAACAGCAGGCTGGGCTGCACGTTCGTAAAGTTGGGCACATCGGCCAGAACAGCCTTCGTCTCGGCGGCGGTGCCGATCGACTTGGCGCCGTCGGCCGAGTCAAAGGTGAGAACGGCAGCGACGGAGAAGGCGGATTCAGCTCCAGCAGCGCCGGAGGTGAAGTTGATGATCTGGTAGTTGATCAGGCCGAGGCCCAGCCAGGCCTCGCGGGCAATCTTCATGTGGGTGCTGAGGTAGTAGTCGAGGTCGAACTTGTCACCCTCGCCCTTAAGGGCAGGGTAGAGGACGGTAAGGGTGGAGGAAGGCATGACGATTGACTGGAGGGAGGCCGAGGTGTGTAAGAAGGGTATCTGGATCGAGTCAGTGCCGCCCGTGTGGTGCTCGACCGGGCGTAGGCGTCTACCTGTGAGGCTGTGAAAATCGTGTGAAGAAGATGTGGTTGTCCCAAAAGTCAGTCGTGGGCGTGCGGCCTCTTTAAACGACGACCAGAACCCCTCCTTTCTGTGTGAGGGGATCAACGACTCCAAGCCACGCAGGCCCAATCAGTCATCGCAGTCTGGCTGATGTCATGCACTGCCTGATCCAGGACACGCTTCACAGCGACTCGTAACACTAAAAGAGATGCCCCACCTGTCCACGGTGGAACGGATCCGAAGCATTAGAAATCGGGACAGCTTCGGACAGATTCTATTGTTGCTTGGATGCGCTAAAGCGCCGACGCGCCGACCGAGGCATCAACCGCAAGAGTGGGGAGGTCCCTTACGGCACAATGTTGGGCCGTCTTGAGCCTCGGATACAATTGTGTTGGCTGACGGAGCAACGCTACAGAGTCAGATGGACTCGCATTCAAGCCAACGCAACGGGCTTGCATGCCGCATGTTCACCACTGAGTCACGATGCCAAGTCAGCGCGGCAAACATGCGGTTGATAGACGCTTTCAAGAGCGTCCGCGTTGTCGACACAGAAGCAGTTCCTGTTGGGGGTATCGCGGACTGGCCCCATGGAGGCGTCAGCGCCAAACAGTGGGACATTCATTCATTAGATAGGACCATCTTTCGAAGCTGAATCAGTCGTCACCCGTCGCCATCAATCCAGAATTGATGCGTCTCGCTTGACGATAACGTCGCGTCTACCAGGCCCGACGCCTCGAAACCATAGTAATGCTGCTCAAAAGCATTCGGCGGCGGTTGCTGCTGTTGCTGCTGCTGCTGCTGCTGCCAAGTCTCGTCGCCATCGTTAGGAGACAGCAACAGGTCGTCGGTAAAGGGCGAATCGTCGTCACCATCACCGTATTCGACAGGGTCAAGCTGCGAGGCTGACCTGCCCGATTGCCCCCGGGGAAGGACCCCCTTGCAGCGGAAACCTGTTGCTCCATGAAGTTGGTCCCTTCGCGCCCAAAAGGCCGATGCTGTATTTCATAAACTCCGCCCCTCGGGCTGTTGATGCGCAAAAACCAGCGTAATTCGGCGAGCTTCCCGAGAAGGGCCTCCCGCTCGGCACCTTCCCTGTCCTGACTCGTCATGCACAGAATGCCCGCAAAGAGCCCAATGATGGCGAGACTGAGGCCCGAAGAAAAGTACCAGAAGCTCTGAAGGTGCTCGGCCTTGAGGCGCTTGACAAAATCTAGGGCTGATGTGAATCGCGTGCTGGCAGCGAGGCGCGTGATGGCATATAGGTCCGGAGCCGGACTCGCCATGGAGTGGGATCGCAGAATCGCGCGATGCAGGGTAATCTCGGCTGTGTAATACGCCAAATGGAGATAGCCTACCGACGAGAGCTTTCGCGGCACAGTGTCACCGACCGAGAGGTCGGTTGGCAGCGATGTCAACCACGCCTTGAGCCGCAGTTGGAGTGGTTTCGCCGACTCCAAGACTTGCTCGATCGTTTGTCGTCTTCGCGTGGCACGCAACGTGAAGAATTGGTCAAGAATATCAGCAACAATTTCCGTCAGAGACACCATGTGCAGAAAAGTCTGCTTGCCCTTCTCAATCTCGGCGCTCCCTTCTTCGAGATCATCGTCCTTGGACGTCTCGGGGAAATCGGATGCCGTGAGCGGCTGGACGTCCCAGTCGTCAGCCCGCAACAGGGATCCACGGCCATACACCAATGCCCCCCATTTGTCCTGCATGAAGAGCGCCCAGGCGACACGTTTCCGAACGCCTCGTTCCCAGTCGGGCACCTGCCAGTCGCTGCAATCAAAGTTCATGCCAAGATTCTGGGCCATGGCGATGAGGTGGCCGGCGAGGGCCCACGAGCTCACGTTGGGCGATTGCATGAGGACGAGGCCGCCTTGAAGGTCGGAAATCTTGGGCCTCTTGTGGACCTCGAACAGCATCTTCAGGACTTTGCTCTCGGAGCACATGAGCATCCGGGTTTCGACATGCTGGAGAGCGCAGGCTATAGGACCACCAGTTCAGCGCCATAATGTAGACGGCTCCCAGTCCTGTCGGCGTCAATTCACGGTAGCTGCGACCGTACTTCTCGAGAAAGACCTTTTTGTGGAGGATGGGGAAGCTCGGGTGGACGATGCGGAAATACAGGTTAACGAGCTCAGGACCGTGAGGCGACACAAAGTCTTCAATCGCATCGAGGTTTGTGAGCTCGGCGTCCATTTCATCCTGCGTGTCGGGCCTCATGACGAAGTGGACATTTTGATTCGCCCGACGGAGAATGTGCTGTGCTTGAAACGACGGGCACTCTCCTTTGGCGTTCCATGACAAGGCGTGTGTCAAAGAAGGGTCAAAGTCCGTTGTTGCGCCGATAATGGCACTAGACTGGCGGTTCTGGTGGCCCAGGGTCTCCTTGAGGAGGGACTGGCCCTTGAGACTCGCATAGTCTTTGACTACGGTGTCGTCTGTGAAGCTTTAGTCTGGGGGTTATCCTCGCGCTCTTCGGTTGCCTCTCGATGACCGTACCCTTGGATCCGGGCCTCAACCGCTGCTTGGGCCGGCTGCCGGTCTGACCTGCCCGTGGGGTGTCATCGTTGGATGACAGGGGGCGTTTCTTCCGAGGCGCGCTTTGAACGTAGGTACACACAGTCGAACGCGATTCGCACAAGACACAGTTGATCGCTTCAGAGGAGGCAAACAAGCAGCGTATCTTTCTTCGTCGGCAATTGTCGCAGGGGCGCTGATCCCTCGATCTCGACACATCCATCGGGGGAGGGCATTCCAGGGCTGTGAGGCCAGACACCGAGCTGAGAATGATGGGAAAGGCGAAAAGAATCAAATACAAAGAGGGCCACGAATCGATGCTGCCGATGGATGGGTGATGATGAACGGATGGATGACATGGAAACAAGACGAGACAATGGGCGAGCTCGGAGCTTTGGGACGGGCGTGTGGGCAGCGACGTTCGAGGTCGCGATGGCCCGATGTGATGGGTGCTCGTTGTGGGGTTGAACATAGCGTCCTGATAATCGATCCTCCGCAGCCAATGGGACAGTCTCTCAGCATGCTTATCGGGTCGAGTGCCACCTTTCTGCTAACCGTATTCGGTTGTTGGGTGGGTCCCACACACGATTCAGCTTTCACCTCGGAAGGCACGTACCACCTTACCTCCTTCTTGCCAGTATCTAGCTGCCTCGAGATGGAGGCAGCTGCCTTGAGGTAGAAGGGGCTTCACCATCTCGACAGCTTTAACGTCTTCAACGTCCTGACAAGGCTCTGTACCCATCACTTGCCAACATCGCATGCTCAGACTCACCTCAATACTTGGCTATAGTCTACCGAGTGTATCGATTTACCTTGGAGAAGAGCGTCGAGCGTCAGCATGCCTGCGAGCAGCTGGTCGATGACCTTGATCCTCCTGCTGGCTTCGACACCCAATGCGAGCTCGCTGGCTTCGTGAACCCAGCGTTCCATCCCCGTGAGGATGACGCCGCCCATACTAACGACCTCGATGTTATCCTCGCCTTCTTTCGTCGTCAAGAGTCGGCACGTGGCACCCATAATCTTCTCTCGAGCGCCGGCTTCCGATCCTGGTTGAAGGTCCATCAGGCCGACTCCCGAGGCTGCAACACCTCCGAACCTGGCAAGCACCTCCTCGTCGCGTCGCAGCAAGTGCCTGACGCCTTCGGATAGCAGCTCTTCGTACGCCACACCTGTCGTCACAATGCCGAACCTCGTGCTCGGGCCCACGAGCTGCAGGGCTGCCAGTATGCTCGCGTCAAAGATGCCCACGACGGGCTTGCTGCCAACGTATGACTGCAGCAGGCGGACGACGGGGTGGTCAGCGTAGCACGCTCCCAGGAACCCGTCAAAGTCGTCTGCCATGGCGCGGAGCAGAGGTATGCAGTGTGATGCGCTTTCGTACATGTCGGCTTGTGTCTTGATAAGTGATGGGCCCGTCGGACACGTCCAGTATGTGAGCGTCGTGTCAGGCAAGCTGAGGCTTGCGAGAACCGGTTCGAAGCTTTTGGTAAGGGAGGCGCTCGTGTTGGGGTTGATGACCAGCACCCGGGCTGGTCTGCGCGTCTTGCAGACCATGTCGAGGTCGCGTCTCTGCTGGATTACAAGACTCGCTGTCGTGCTGACAATGAGCAAGCTGATAGCAATGGTTCGAGTGCGATTTGTGAGTCCGCTGAGCAACGTCAATCGACACTGCCGAATGGCAGATACTTAAGATGGCCCAAGGCTTATCGGTAGCAACACCGACACCTGACGGTCAATCAGTTTGCGCGTGGCTCAGGGCCCGTGTCGCCGCTCCTCAAGCCCGTGTCCGATCCACAAACGCCCGCGGGCCTGCCCGCGCGGGCTGCACAGTCGGGGTCGCGGCGAGTCGACACGCGCGCCGCGAGTCTCTAGGGCACGCCTGGATCCCCGCGCTAAATCATGCCCGCCCCAAGATAAGCTCGGTCCGGGGAAAGACATCCAAGCTGCGACATCGCCGGCCTCGTAACGGGAACCCCAATAGGCGCTGATAAGGCGGGTGCTCAGGACACTTGGAGTCGACCCAGCTTCAACATGCAGAAAACATAAATCAAAGTCGTCGCCGGCGTTTGTTTTTGCTGTCTGGAGTCTCATCAGTCTACATTACAACATCTTCACTTGGATTGACCGGAAATCAGCTTTCAGCGAGTCCGTCTCAATTGCCACCCTTCCGCGACATCGCAGCCGACGCAGATATGGGCGAGCTACAGTCTACCACTGTCGTAGCCGACGAAAAGGCCAGCAACCTCGATGCGTCTTCAATCGACTCTGGCGCCGTCGCCAACCCTCAGGTCGTCGAGACGATATTCATCGATCCTGACGAAGAAAAGGCCGTTCTTCGCAAATTTGACAAATGGGTTCTGCCCCAGGCTTTTGTCTTTATTCTCCTCAACTACCTGGACAGATCCAACCTCGGCAACGCTCGCGTCTTTGGCTTTGAAGAGGACATTGGCCTTGTCGACAACCAGTTTGGCAACCTCGTCACCCTCTTCTTCGTCCCCTACATCATCACCGAGGTGTTTTGGGTCACAGCTGTCAAGCGTTTCGGCCCCAACTATGTCATCACTGTCGCCTTGTTTGGGTGGTGCATCGCCACTATTGCCACGGGCTTCGTGCAGAACTACGGCCAGGCCCTTGCGTGCCGCATGCTCCTTGGGCTGTTTGAAGCCGGCGTAGCCCCTGCTTTCACCTTCATCTTCTCCACCATCTACGACCGCGAATCTACGGCCAAGCGCGTTGCGCTCATCAACCTGGCTAATGCCACGTCGGGTGCCTTTGGGGGCATGTTTGCGTATGCCATCCAGACCATGGGCACCCGCCGTGGCCTCGAAGCATGGCGCTGGCTCTTCATCATCGAGGGTTCCATCTCCCTCGCCATCTGCGGCGGCTGTCTCTGGTCCTTCCCCAACAAGCCCGAGACGGCCTGGTTCCTGAATGAAGACGAAAAGGCCCTCATGTGCCGTCGCACACGCACGCGCGATGCCATTTACAAGGGCGACGACAAATTTGACTGGA